TGTGGCCTGTGTGCACGGTTCCTGCTCTCTGGGAGCTGCCCTTCCCGTCAGAGAGAGAGAGAAAGGACCCCACAGGGAACCATGAGGCCACCTCTGCCTGGCCGAGGGCGGGGCTGAGACCGGCAGATGTCCGAGGCTGGGGAGGGGGAGATGGGGCCGCCCCCAGGTGCTCACCTCCAGGATGTCGGCGGTGGGGATGTGCATGGACTCGGTTCCTCCGTAGTACAGGTACTGCATCATCAGCTGCAGGGACAGGCCCGAGTGAGCCGAAGGGACCCACAGCACGAAGCCCCTGCTGGCCCGCAGGATGCTGTGCCACCTGCCCACCCCCCCATCCTGTCCCTCTGCGTGTGATGCCTGCAGGGCCCCAACTCTGCCTCTCCTTCCGCTCTCCCCAGCTCAGCCTGACTCAAACGCTGGTCTTTCCCCAGAACACCGCCTCCAGAAGCCACTTCCCAGACCCTCGCTCCTGACTCTGCCCATGTGACAAGCTCCCTTCCGTGGAGCGGTTTCTTTTCGATCCTAATGACAACCCCATGGGCTCAGGAGGTGAGATGAGATTCAGAGCTGGGGAAACTGAGGCCCAGGGAAGGAAGAGGGCTTCAAATCCCTCAGGTCTCCTCATTCCCAATCATTGCTCTCACATTGCACTCAGCTCCACTCTGCTCATTGCTCATTTTACACAGAGCCACGGGGCTCGGAGGAGACTGTCTAACACCCAGCTACCCTCAGGAGGCTGCCTGAGGCCTGGCCCGGGCCTGTCTGTGCTGGGTCTCCACTGTGGAGACGAGAGTCACATTCTGACTCCCTGCGAAAGAAAGCACAGAGCCCAGGCCACCAGACGGGGTGGTCTGGGAGGGGAACTATATTTACTTGTGCCGAGGTCTAAGTTACACTCTGCTATCATGCTGGAGCAAGTGAGGCTCCCAGTTGGAAAAAAGAAAAACAATTCTTTCTAGTTGGCTGAAGAAACAGCCCCAGGAAGGAACTGGCAAGCATGTGAGTAAACACAGCTCCACAGGCACAGTTGGGCTCTGTGGGGACTGGCCCTCGGGCCAAAGAGGCACCAGAGGGTCTAGGAGAAAGCCTGACCCCGGGGGAGAGGAGAGGGGGCTGGCTGCCAGCCTCTCCCGGGAGACAGAGACATTGGCCTCTTCCTCAGAGGAGCGGGAAGCTCCCAGGGCCTCCTGCAGCCCCTGCTGGATCCGTGTGGAGCCTGTAATTGCACATTAAGTGTCCGTCTGTCCCTCCAGGAGGCCTGCCCCTCTGCCTGGGGTGGGCAGGCAGATCGCATCTTTTGGGACTCTTTGCTAAGGGATGGCCTCAGGGCAGCCCCTGAGCAAGGGACACAGGTGGCCACAGCCTGCAGCTCCCTTCCTGGGCTGAAAGGTGACCTCCTGCTGCATCTTGGGAGTTGGTTTTGGCAAGGCCCAGCCATCTGTGGTCCATACGTCTCCCTGAGGCCACTTGAATGCATATGAGGCCACGGAGCTGCTCGCTTAGAGCCTTGCTAAGGGAGCCTGGCAGCCTGCAGGCAACAGAAGATTAATTTCGCATAGCCTGGCAGCCCCTGGTAGGACGTGGGTCACCTGCCTCTCAAAACTGGGCACCCTTTGGGGCTGGACAGCCAAAGGGCTGCTCGAGGAAAAGCCCCAGGCAAAACCAGCTGCAGGCAGCAGTTTCCTTTGGCCCACATGGGCCACCAGGAAGCCCAGACTGCAGGAGCCAGTCCCCAACGCCTGGCTTTAGTTGACAGTGACCTTGGCAAGTGACAATATGACAGCTACTAGCCACAATGGCTTCCGGTGTTCTGCAATGTGGCTGGTCTGGATTGAGATGCACTGTATCAAATTCATACTGGATTTTGAGACCTCTTTTTACATTGGTTACATGTTGAAATGATAATGTTTTGCCTATACTGGGTTAGCTAATATATTAAAATTAACTACTTCACCTGCTTTTTATGTACTAGTAATACATTTGAAATTATGCCATGTGGCCCACATTATCTCTCTGACTCTACTGCTTAGATCTCCTTCCTCCTCCAGAAAACACAGAAAATAACACCTCCCTCCCCCGGCACTGTAAGAGCCAGTGAGATATGTGGAGACAGCTCTGAAACTCCCCGGATGGGTAGCCTCAGGTCATCCCCTCCAAGGGAGCCCAGGACGCAGGAGCCAAAGTCCGGAGGCCCCAACCGAAATGACACCCCCACATAACGGGAGAGTTCTGTTCTCAGAGAACCTACTGGGCAAGGCCGGTGCCCTGGGCCAGGTTGGAGCGATCGGCCAGAACTTCGTGAGAGGCCAGGTTAGGGAGGGCCAGACACTCCCAAGGCCCACGTGTGCCACGTGAGAGCTGGCATCCCCATTTCCCTCCCAACAACCTCGAGAAGTCAAGGGGCTGCTCAGCCCGTCCTGGCCCGGCTGCCCTCCCCCTGGCCCCGGTGAGCAGCAGCGGCCTTGGTGGGCAGCCAAGTCAGCACACACCTCCCCTCTGGACAGTGGCCACCGTGTCCACACGTGTGCACTCAACTCCCCACGCTCCACCAATCCCGGCCACCCCCCAGCCCCGCCTCCTGTTGATCCGATCGTGACTCCAGCGCACCTGGACTTTGGGCTTCTTAGCCAAACAGGTGTCTAAGGCTGCCTCCTCCCCAGAGAGTTTGGATCAAAGGACAGGGAGACGCCACCACTCTGCTGCCTATGCCAGACCCTGGGCCCTCCTGCCCGTCAGTTACCAGGGCCCATCCACTCTCCCCTGCTCTACTTCCCTTCGTCCCACCGGCCACTACCAGCACCACTGTCACTCAGCTGGACTCCCCACCTGATCCTAACTGGTCCCCTGGAAGTAGCCTTGTCCCCTTCACCCCCTCCCTCACCTCTAAATGCACACTTGGCCACTCTAAACACCCTGGGTTGGAATTCTGGTTCTATCACTCCCCAGCTGTGTGGCCTTTAGCAAGTTACTCAAGTTCCCTGTGCCCCGCATCTACTAAGAGGGAATAATAAGATCCCCAATGCCTCCTAGAACTGTGCTGAAGCTCACGTGGAAAACAGGCCAAGCACTTAGAACCAGGCCCACGTCGCCGTCAGTGACGACAACCTCATCCCTCTGCTTCAAATATTTTAGAGCTTCCAGCTGTCCCTGTGTAAAAGGTCAAGCCCTCCATGCTATGGTTCCATGGGGCAGCTTCGGACTCATTTCTAGATGTTCTTCTGAACTGTTGCCCGGAGTAGACCAGAGGGCATTTCCTGCACACGTCACGGACCCTGGCTTCTGGGACTTGGCATGTGCTGTTCCCTCTACCTGGAGCCCCTGACAACTGGCTGCCTGCCCCAGTCCTTGAGACCCCAGCCTGCCACTTCCTGCAGGAGGCATCCTTCACCTCCCCATGTTCCTTTCCTGCACCCCAAGAATCCCCTGGGCTTCCCTCATGGCAACCATCGCACTTTTTCGTAGTCCTGTCTCCTTAGGGGCAGGATCCATCCAGTTTGCTGCTCCTTCCACCCATAAATGGCTACATAAGTGACTAAAGGAAACAGAGAGGAACTAAAGCTACCTCAGATGGTGGCTGCCTGGGCCTCTGTGAAACTCTGGATTTTGAGATTTCTCCTATTCCATCACAAACCCATCCTGTGCAGGGCAGGGCCCTGGGTCCACCCACCCGCTGTCTCCTGGCCTCAGTCCCAGCCCCTAAGGGTCAGCCCTGAGCCCCAGCACAACCTGGAGGTGTCCAGTCACTGCCTTCCAGAGAGGAGCTCTCAGCGGGGCTCAGCTGAGATCCCAGCCAGGGCTCTGCCTCCAGACCTCGTTGGCCTCGACTGGAGTTTCTGTTATGTAACTTTTTGCGTTCTGCAAAACCAAGAGCCTGGAAGACTTGACTTTCCTCTTCTCTAACCTGGATGTGCTCTCACGGCCTTCTCTGCTTGGCCAGCACGGCTGGGGTAGGGTGTGATGCCTGGGAGGAGTGACCGGCCTACACCAGCGCTCCCCAAACTGCACACGCGCCACCTGGGCATCCTGCGACGATGCACGTTCTGGTGCAGGAGGCGTGGGCCCTGGGACCCTGCATTCCCAGCAAGTTCTCAGTAATGCTCACGTGCTGGGACCCCACTCTGATGACAGCGGCCCCCATGCCACATGTGTGGTGTGTGCTTGTCTTACATGTCTGTACGCTGCCTGGACATCGTGTCCAGTGGTAAGAGCCCAGGACTGTGAGGCAGGCTCTGAAGCTACGGCTGCACAGCGGGTGGCTGCTTTGGCACAGGGAAAGGCCCGGATGCTCAAACCCGACTTATGATTCAAGGACACACAGAAGGCACTGGGAGTAGCCTGGAAAACTATGGGCGACGCACAGCTGCCCCCAAGGGCGGGCTCCTGGGGGGAGGCCATCCCTCCCAGACGGGCAGCACCGAGCCCCACCCACCTGAAAAATGTGGTACTTCATGTCGCTGATCTCGATGGTCTTGCTGCTGTCCCCATCTTGCTCTGATTTATTGGTCATCAGCGTCTTGAACCTGGAGCAGAGGAGACGAAACGAGGCAGGTTTTGAACGTGACTTTTTCTCCATCACCGTGCGGTGACGGCACCATCCGTCACCTCACCGGCTACCGGGAGACAGAGCGTTTGAAAGATTGCTGCTGTGCTCCCAAAATAATTCTCAGCAAGTGACGTTTTACATGGTGCTGACAGCGGGGCTGAGCCCCATTCCATCCCTGCTATCTCCATACTTGTGACCTGACGCCTGTGGCCGGACACTGACTCCTTGTCCCAGGATATTTATATTTTCTAATAACTGAAAGCAATACCTGGGCCAGAAAGACCCCCCCCCCCAGGTCTCCCTGGAGGACTCCGGCCCACGCCTCCTGCCCCACCCGGCCCGCCTCATGCCCCCCATGGGGCAGGTGGGCCACAGCCCCAGCCAGCCGCCCTCCGGCACCTCAAATCTGAAACAAGCTGCCCTTATGCCCCTGAGCTGGGGCTTTGTTATCCGAGGCTGCCTACCTGTTGGACGCCGTCACCAGCAGGACTTTATGTGCATAAAACAGCTTTCCTTCCACGAGGAAGGTCACGTCCGACATCTCCTTGTTGTTCAGAAAGTGTGGGTCTGCGAAGAAGGGGAAGAGAGGGACGTGGCCGAGGCGTCTACCTCCGGGGGTTATTAAGGGTGCTGTGAGGTGTGTGTTGGGGCAGGAGAGGGACACAAAGGTGAGGGACAGAGAAACTGAGGCCAGGGATGGAGGGGAGGAGGAGGACGGCAGGGCGCGCGGAGACGGGCCTTCACCTAGCCTGGCCGGCAGGGTCTTCCGGATCTCTGGGATGCTGGGGATGGGGCTGGTGCCGTAGCAGTGGGTGAAGATGGCAGCCAGCTGCTGGGCGACAGAGTCGTTCTGTGGGAGAGGGAGAGGGGCCCGTTAGCTTGTCCCGTGCCGCTGTTTACAGCTGCAGATACGTCAGGCTGATGTCAAAAGTCCAGGCCTGGATTAGAGCAGCCGCTGGCTTTTTGTTCCTGCTGGATCTGGCTTGGCAGGAGATGCCTGTGCTTCCATCAGCGATTCCCCAAATGGCTTTTCTGGCCAGGATCCAGTCCAGACACGTCCACGGCCCCTCCCCTCTGCGGCCGGGCAGCACGAGTCTGCGTGCCGGGGGTGGGCGTCCATCCGTGTGCGTGGGGGTGCCTGTGTCTGCTGCCTGCCTGTGTGTCCGTCCACACGTCTGTCCCGTGGCCCGGGTCGGGGCTGTGGGCTCTGGAACCCGGGGCTCCCTGGGTGTGGGGCGGGGGCTGCTGGCCACACTCACTTTGCTGGTCTTGAGGATGTCGAACAGGAGCTGCAGGCCCTCGGTCACCAGCTCCTCGTTGTACTCCTCCTCCTTGATGGAGCCGAAATCCCGCAGGAGGCTCTGCACCACCGAGTACCGCGACTGCGAGAAGGAGGTCCTCAGAGACTCGATCCAGATGTGCAGCTTCCAGGGCACACCTGGCCCGGGCGGGGAAAGGCAGGCAGTCACACACCTTGGCACGGTGCTCCCCGTGCAGACCCCGACATTCTCCAGCAGGACGTGCCCCGGGTCGTGGAGCACCCCGCCCCCCCTCTGCTGTGTGCTGAATGGCTGTCCCGGCGTGGCCACACAGCGACAGCCTTAATTCACGCCAAGGGGCCGAGCGTGGGTTCCAGGTTCTCTTTGGATGAGGTGGAGGAGTGGCTGCAGCCCAACACGGGGGACCCAAGCTGTGAAAACTGACAGCCCAGCTGGGGGATTTGTGAGTGTGGCCCCACGGCCAACGGGAACCCTGTTGCTTGTTGGGCCCAAAAATTATTTGCTAGGGAGGACTTATTAATTCTGGAGGGGTGGCCAGGTGGACACGGGTACCCGGAAAATATGCAGGGCATTCAAGGACACACAGGCCCCAGAGTGAACTTGTCCCTGTCCCGGAGGGAGGGCCCATCCCCAGGGGACTGGTGTGTCCATGCACACCCAGGGGCAGACGATGACTGGGTACCAGCTCCCCGGAGTGTGTCAGTGGGGCCACAGAGTCCTTTAAAACTGCTGGGGGCAGTTCAAGACATAAACTAGTCGTGTTCCTGGTAATCAGAGAGATAACCTCTTACCCTCCCGCCTCCCTGGGGATTATAAGCAATGGCATTCCCCAGGGACATAGGTTACTGACTGCAGGTGGGAGTGACATCCCCACTTTACAGCAATGAACACCGAGGCAGGCTGCCTCGCTGCCCTCCGGCCCTGCCCTGGGGGTTGCGTGCTGTGGCCCCATGGTAACAGCCCGGCTGCCGAGTTCCAAGTGCTCACAGCAGGCACCGGGCCTCGTGCTTTAGTGACGTCATCCCATTCCTAGATGATGATCCTGAGCACCAAACCCCCGGAGAGAGAAGGGAATCGAGACTTGGAGAGATTACATGGTGTGTGGCCAACACAGGATCTGACCCAAGTCTCTGTCTGACCAGCCTCCCTGGAGGACACAGAAAGTCCACAGACTGGACCAACCAAAGGTATGAACAGGCTGGCCGAGGACAGGCATGGTGACTCACAGGGCTCAGTGTGCTACACATCCCTGAGCTGTGACCAGCGAAGGGTCAGCCAGGGAGGATGGGAGGCCTGAGGGCAGAGGGCTGGGGCCGTGACCTCGAGAGGTGTCACTGCTGAGGAATGTCTGAGGCCCAGGGCACCTCCTGGCCTGGCCACACCCTGTGCTCAGCTGCCCTGTGAGCCCTGGGCCACTCTGGCCTGCTGAAGAGCAGCAGGCAGTGACTGCATGTGCACATGTGCATGTGTGAGTGTGCCTGTGTGCACATGCATATATGCGAGTGTGCATGTGTGTATGTGCACATGCTTGTGTGCGAGTGTGCATGCATGCCTGGGCAGCCTTACCCAGCGCCCTCAGCTCCATGGTGATGTCCACGTAGCCGTGCTCGGCGCTGTAGTACATGGCCTCCTGCAGGGCCTTCGTGCGGGTCCGGCTCAGCCGCACGGGCCCCTCGCTGCTGCTGCCCTGGCTGGACGTGTCGCTCTCCTCCACGCCCTCGGCCAGGATCTCCTCCAGGGACAGCACGTCTGCTTTGGCCTGCTGCGGCTGCGTCAGGAGCTTCCTCAGGACATTCCTGCAGGCAGAGCGGTGGAGGAGGGTGAGGCCTGAGGTCCCACTACAGGTGGTGCCTGCCCGAGCTGCCGCCTGGCACCCCACTGCCCGGATGGGTGACCACGGCACATCCGGGGCTCAGGGAGCTCCTGGCCTGCCTCTCACTCCTGGGGACACCAGTCCCCACGACCTGGGGGTCAGGGGACGGTGCGGGAAGCCCCTCTCTCCTGCCACCCTGGTACTGCAGAGAAGTCACAGGCTTTGGGGTTGGGCAGGCTCTGCCATCCTGGCTGTGTGACCTCAGACTGGCTGTCCTCCCTCCCTGAGCCCGGACTGCTTTGTCATCTGTAGAACAGGGTGTCAGCGTCACCCTTTCCCAAGGCTACTGTGAAGGCATCACATGCAGAGCCTGGGACCCAGCAGGGCCTAAACAGCAGCCACGTATGCGAAAGCGTCTGAGACGGGGTACTCAGCCCTAGTTAGGGCTCAGTCGCCCCTCTTGTTCCTAAAGATGAAGTGAGGTGAATGACACAGAATTTACTCAGGTTTATAAACGAACGCCTAGAAGGTTAGATTGGACAGAGCACGCTCCCCGTGCTGCTGTATTTAGCCCTGCAAGACACCATGAGTGTCGCCATTACGGGGGATGAACCCACCCTGCTCAAGGCATGTGATGGGAGTGCAGACGCAGACATGCGTCCTGTGGCCTGGGCTGGCAGCAGCATGGCAGGCCCCAAAGGTCTCCTGTGTGCCGACCTCCTCCACAGCAGCCCCGTGGGCCCCTGTGCAAATCTCCTGATCCTGTGGCCAAGGCACCCTGCGCAGGACCCAGGGCCACCCCTGAGGGGCCGGCCGGCCGGCTGTATGTAGTCAGCGCTCATCTGTGGCTCTGCTAGCTCAGGAGTCTGCAGAGCGCCTCCCTTGTGCTGGGCATGGTGTGTGAAGGTGAAGCAGCCCCGGTGCCTGTCCCCAGGGTCCTGTTCTCCACACAGAGCGAGAGGAGGACGGGCAGGCAGGGAACTCCCTCACAGGGTGAAGGGGCCACAGTGGGCCAAACATGGGCACGGGGAGGGACAGAGTGGCCTAGAGGCAGCCATGGTAAGATGGCACCTGAAGGCTGAGGGAGTCTGGGTGGGTGAATGTGGGGGCTGGGAAGGCGTAGGGAAAAGGGGACCCACGGGAGGGACCACAGCAAGAGCCTGCGTCTCGTGGCAACAGGCGTCTGGGAACCAGATGCTGGAGGCCCGCTTGCCTGCCCGCCCTGCCTTTCTGGCCCCTTCTCTGCCCTCTAACAACCTCTCCTCCAGTCTCGCTCTGGCCCCGCTGCTGCCCAATGGCCCTGGCTCCAGCCTGACCACCCTGTCGCACGCAGGTGGGCCTGGCGCCCCCGAGCAAGCTCCACCATCTGCCCCTGGAGCGGGACTCAATTTCACACAGAGCCACCAGGAGCCTCTTCATGGCTGAGCAGCCCGTGGTGTGGAAGCTCCTGGGGCCCTTGAGGCCACGTGGTCCCCAGCAGGCCTGGCGGCTGCAGGGCACAGCTTACTGGACAACGGGACGGCCTGTCCTGGGCATCGGGCGGCCAGGCTCCAGTCCCAGGCTTTCCAGGAACCAGCCTCCCTCTCGCACCCCCCACCTGGCCCCTTGGGGCTGCTAACGTCTGGGTCCTGTGCCGGTGGAGACCCTCCTCTTTCTGGTCTCCTAACACGCAGGCCCCCGTCGCGAGAAAGCGTCCAGGCCCAGCTCCTCTGCCCCCACTGGGGAAACGGAGGCTCGTCTTAGTGCCCACGTCGCACACGCGGGAATCTCGGGCAGGCACCTGTGGCCGTGGGCAGCCGAGTGGCTGAAGCAGTTCATGTCCTCGTGCAGGGAGGAGCCCATGCCGTTGGCCTCCAGCATGCTGAGCAGGGGGTCGGCGCCTCGGCTCAGCAGCAGGCTGACCAGCTCGTAGTTCCCTGAAAGACAAGGGCGACGCCGCGGACAGTGAGAGGCTGGCTGAGCCGGTGCTGAGCACGGGCAAGGGGGAGAGGGATCCTCTAAACTCTGAGCGAAGGAAGAAATGAGTAAACCCCACGTTCGTTTATGTTTTGTGGGCGGGGTGGGGGGTGAGGTGGAGGTGAGAGGGAGACGGGAGGAAGGCAGGGTGAGGGGAGCCCCTCAGTGGCTCCGGGGAGGGGTTGCACGGCCCGCCACAGACCCCTGTCTGTCCAGCTATGTCCCCACGGAGGCTGGGTGACAGTGCAGGGAGGGCCCCTCGCGGGGCAGGGCAGTGGTGTGCCTACCGGCCGCAGAGGCTAGCTGCAGGGGCGTCTCCGCGTAGCTGTCCTCGCCGCTGTTGACCGCAGAGCCCTCCACGTGGGCGCCGGCGTCCAGCAGCAACTGCCAGGGGCACAGAGCAGGGGGCACCGCTCAGCACGGTGGGGCACCTGGGAAGGGCTCGGGGAGGCTTTGTGGGACGGAGACTTAGGTCCTCTCCAGCCACAGCCTACCTGGCAGCCGAGGAACTGGACCTTTAGAACTCCAGGTTACACTCAAGGCTCAGTTTCTAGAATCTTCAACTCCTGTGGCTCCAGCCCAAACCCCTAAGCTACGAGGACTTCTGAGTTGTTTCTTTCTTTCAAATGCTTTCTCATAAGCTGGCTACAATGGCATTCCCGAGAACTCACGCACACAAGCAGGAAAGAAAGTGCTGCCCCCAGTCTACAGGGGTGAACTGAGGCTCTGGTGGCAGCAGGTGTTGGAGTCAAAAAGAGCAGGGTGCCAATACTGGCACCTACCAGTGAGAAACCTGGGGCAGATCCTTCAACCCTCTGAGCCTCAGTCTGCCTCATCTACAAAATGGGAAGAGAGGCTGGCCTTGCAGTATTATTGGTGATTGAACAAAACCATGCTCAATAGCCAGTGGCTTTTAGGCATCTCGTCTGAGAGGTCTGAAGCCACCCCAGGCCGGCAGGTGGTAGCTGGAGCAGAGTGTCTTTGTCCAGAACAGCAGGGGCCTCTCCCTGTTCTAGCAAGGGCCAGCTTTGCGGGGGCACAGACGGGGCAGGGTTAACAGATACCAGGCAGTGCCAGCCTGAGCTGGGCCTGGCTTTGCCTCGGGGCAGGGGTGGTGCTGGCATCACTCCAGTGGGTGACTTTCGGCTCCGTCTCACCTGCCCTGACTGGCTGCTCTGGAGGGAGTGACCTTCCAGCCTTCCCAGACTCCTGGAAACCAAGCCTTCCTCAGAGCATGATGGCAGTCAAGGGGAAGCCCGCCTGCCCCGCCAGGAGGCCAGGAGTGAGGCGTCCAGGCTGCCCCTGGCCACCTGCAGTGTGAGGGGCACAGGGGGACGGCCATCTGCTGGAGACTCATTGGTCAGAAACCAGCTGTGCTCCGCCACCTGTGCCAGTGCCAGGGCCGTGGGGGCGGAGGCCTGCCCATGGGGTGAAACTGGGCGCCAGTCCAGGCAAGCCCAGGGCATGGCCCTGCAGGCCCAGTCTGAGCTGATGTCGGGCTTTGCTGTGCAGCCGCCAGAGGGTAACGGCTTGGCAGGTGAGCTGTGCCAATCTGGGTCCCCTCAGAACTGGCAAACAGAGAAACTAAGGCTGTTCATGGAGAGGGGACAGAACTGGAGGGGACATCATGCTAGAGAGCTGGCCCTGCAAAACTCACTAGGGGAGAGAACAGAGAAGGGTCAGGAAGATGGTTCAGGGTGGGCCTGCCAAGCAGACACGCCCAAAGACTCATCAAAGGGGACACAGAGATGCCAAGAGGCAAAATGGGACCTGGATCTTGTTTCCTAAAACTCCACATGTATCCTTCCACTAGCCCCTTCCTTAGGCACATTGGGTGGGTCGCTGCCCTGTTGAACAGGTGAGCAGATTTGCAGCAACCACTCATGCAGCTGCGGCTCGGGCTGTGCTTGGGGCCCAGCTCACCTGGTAAGCTGAGGGAGGGGTACAGTGTCCACCTGGCAGGAGCTCACCTGGACCACAGAGATGTGTCCATGCAGCACAGCAAATGTCAGCGAGGTCCAGTGCCGGCTGTCGGGGTGGACGGAAGGGTGCCTGGGAGAGTTGCTTGGAACCTGGAAAACCGCACAGAGGATCAGTGTTTCCTACACAGGTGATATGGGCACCTGAGTGAAGGAAGTATGCTGCAGGGATGGTGAATGGGAGTCAACTCAAGTGCTTTCTACACTGGATTTGTAATGTCTGCCTGGAGCATCATGTGGACAAGGCTTAAAAGGAAAGGATGATGTTCAATTAGTGATGCCTGCCGTGGGCAAAAGATGGTAGAGGGGAAGCACTCTCTGCCTCAGAGGGAGGCAGAGTAACTGGGGGTGGTAGGGATGGCTGGGGATTATTAGGCTGGTGAAAGGGAGAAAGAAGATGCTATTAACATAACAAAAGAATCATGGCCATTCTCTCCACTTGGCTGGCTCTCTCTCACACAGAGAGCTCAAATCCTCTTTCTAACTGTGGTCTCTGTGTGTCTTGTCTTCACAGACCTCTGGGACACACCCACTCAGGCGCCCAAACATCACATCTGATGGAGACCTGGGGCCTCCTCACCTGGATGTCCAAGTTCGCCCCGGCATCAATCAACATCTGGACCATGGCCTCGTCCCCGGCAGCGCAGGCGTACATCAGTGGCGTCATGCCCTGCGTGGATCAAAGACGGATGCTTACTTGTCTGAAGACAGGACACACCACGTACCCCACCCACTATCCCACGGCCCTCCACCCCAGAAACCTCGGGCCTGGCCTCTGCTTGGCGTGGCTGCTCACGCTGGGCTCTCCTGCACCTGGTGCCTCCTGGGCCCACGGGCCACAGGATGCTGACGGGGAGAGTCGGGCATTGCCATGGGCACTGCGGGACCCCGGAGGGCTGTGAAGCGCTGTCAGAACATTGCAAAGGCCACTTCGGCCACGAGCAGCTGTCAGCTTTCTACAAATCACTCCTCTCTGTGCCTGTGTTTCCTGATCTTTAAACTGTGAACAATAGTATCGACCTCACAGGGTGGTTGTAACGAGCGTGAGTTAATATGTGTCAAGTGCTTCATATAGAATAAGCTTTCCTGGAAAGCCAGCTAATTAAAATAACCACCACCCATGGCTGCCACTACGCTCCACTGCCACACCCCAGCCCACCCCGTGCAGGCCCCTGCACGGAAACTGC